ACACAGAGACACACACAGACACACACACAAAGACACACACATACAGACACACACAGACGCACATACACACACAGGCACATACACACGGACACACACACAGAGACACACACAGACACACACACAGCTACACACACACAGACACACACACACACTGCTGGGGAGATTCCCTGTGTTACGAATTAAGTCAGAAACATAGTATGTATGAAAAGCCATCTGGAGTATTTGTTGTTGCACCTTATTAATTAGCAGCAGGGCTAATCAAGTTACTTTTTGATGTGGTTCACACAAGCTTAATTATTCCCGATCAACCTCTTCTGACATGTTATGGCAGCTCCAGGGGCCAATGGGAATTATTTATTTTTAATTTATTCATTTTGTACAATGTGGGGATCACTGGTTGGCCAGCACTTATTGTCCATCCCCTTGAGAAGGTGGTGCTGAGCTGTTTCTTGAACCGCTGCAGACTACCTGCTGCAGGTAAACCCCACAATGCCCTTAGGGAAGGAATTCCAGGATTTTGACTCAGTGGCACTGAAGGAACTGGCGATATATTTCCAAGTCAGGATGGTGAGTGGCTTGGAGGGAAACTTGCAGGGGGTGGTGTTCCCATGTGTCTGCTGCCCTTGTCCTTCTAGATGGAAGTGGTCGTGGCTTTGGAAGGTGCTGTCTGAGGATCTTTGGTGAATTTCTACAGTCCATCTTGTCAATAGTACACACTGCTGCTACTGAGTGTCAGTGGTGGAGGGAGTGGATGCTTGTGGATGTAGTGCCAATCAGCGGGCAGCTTTGGACTGGATGGACTTGAATCCCACAGAGGCACAGCGAAACTGTCCCAATCTCTGGAACCCAAGAACCCCCATGACTGGGCAGCTAGAGGATGTTCAGTGCTGAGCTGAATGAGCTGTCTAAATCAAGGAGTCTTTGGCATAGGCGAAATCTTCTTCATACAAGGGGGAGTGGGAATCTGAAGGTCTCTCGCTGCCAGAGTCAACTGAAAATGTTGAACTAAAACTGATACGAACTTTGCTAGGCAAGGGCTATGGAACCAAGACATGTAGATGAAATTAAGATAGAGGTCAGCCGTTTTCTAAGTGAACAGCAGAACTGGCTCAAAGGGCCGAATGGCCTCACCCTCTGGCTTTTGGCTTACAGTTCAATCAGTAAGTCCTAGTTGCTATGGTAAAATGGCCCTTTGCATGTCTGGAGGTACAGATAATGATGGTTGAGGCTACAATGTTTGTTTTGCTCACATAAATCTCCCCCAATCTTACTGCGGTTAGCATGTGTTGGCTCAGAGGCAAGGACTTTACTGATTGCATCACCAGGCCTTCTTGTGCTCTTACGTCCTCTAAGTTGCAGCAATGGGTTTTATAGATCATTCTTGTCCCCTCCTGCACACACACTGTGGCTTACCTTGACAGAGACAATTGGCTCTCTAAAACTTTCAAGGTCAATCAATGATTCCAAATTTGTGGATGTGGCTAACTGTGAAGGTGAATCCCAAAATATTGTGGATGACATGGGCAGGCTAATGACAGATAGTGTTTAATATCGAAAAGTTTAAACTTGAAAGGGTTCAGAAAAGATTTACAAAGATGTTGCCAGAGTTGGAGGGTTTGAGCCATAGGGAGAGGCTGAAAAGGCTGGGGCTATTTTCCCTGGAGTGTCGGAGACTGAGGGGTGACTTTATAAAAGTTTATAAAATCATGAGGGGCATGGAGAGGGCAAATAGGCAAGGTCTTTTCCCCGGGGTGGGGGAGTCCAAAACTAGAGGTCATAGGTTTAAGGCGACAGGGAAAAGATTTAAAAGGGAATTAAGGGACAACTTTTTCACACAGAGGGTGGTGTGTATATGGAATGAGCTGCCAGAGGAAGGGGTGGAGGCTGGTACAATTACAATATTTAAAAGGCATCTGGATGGGTATGTGAATAGGAAGGATAAGAGGGATATGGGACAAGTACTGGCAAATGGGATTAGATTAATTTAGGATTTCTGGTCGACATGGATGAGTTGGACCAAAGAGTCTGTTTCCATATTGTAGATCTCTATGACTCTAAATGTGAGGTGATGCATTTTATCAGAAAGGAAAGACAAGGTAGAGGTAATGTGAAGCGTACAGGGACAGAGGGACCTGAAGTTCAGTTACATGATTCTTTGGAGATGGCAAGACATAAATGGCCCTGAGCTCTATTAAATATTGGTATTGATACAAAAGCAGGGAGAGGATGCTGCATGTTTCTGAAGCTGTGATTAGTCCACAGCTACAGTGTTATTTGAGAAGGCCCTTGTTAGGGTAGAGATTTAACAGAATGGTTCCAGGGATGAGCGAATTTAACCACAAGGTTGGGTAGAGAAGCTAAAATTGTTCTCCTTGGAGCAAGGGAGATTTCATCCAGAGGCGCAAGATTATAGGAACGTAGGAATTAGGAGTAGGAGTAGGCAATCCAGCCTTTTGAGCCCGCTCCACAATTTAACGTGATTATGACCGGCTTAGAGCGTTCCAATTGCATAATAAAGACTTGGAGACACGGATTCACAGTTTTGGGCAGGAAATTCAGGCCAAGTGTGAGAAAGCTTCTGCTTTTACACAGTGAGTGGTAAAGACCTGGAATTTGCTATCCATGAGGACTGTAGAAGTGGAGATGATGGATGATTAGAAAAGGAAATTGGGTGGTCTTTGGTGAAAAATGAAGCTGCCGGACTGCAAGGACGAGGCAAGGGAATGGGACTGACTGGATTGCTCAGAGAACTGACATGGATTCAATGGGGCAATGTACTTTTCAATGTACACTCAATACTCACACAGAGCTAGCAGCAAAATAGACAGCCAGGTGGTGTACACACACACACGCACACACACACGCACACACACACACATGCACACACACACACACATGCACATAACCCTCTCTGATGCCCACAGAGATACATATAATGTTGCCAATGTTGGTATAGTGGTAATGTCATTGCATTATGTAATTCAGCAATGTGGGCTATTAATCTGCAAATAGGAATTTAAGTTCAGTTAATAAATTAAAATCCAGAGCTGAAAGCCAGTCTCACTGATAGTGACCATGAAGCTATCGTTGACTGTCACAACAGCCCATGTAAATTCACTAATGCCTTTAGAGAAGGAAATCTGCCATCCTTACCTGGTCTGGCCTACTTGCAACACCAGACCACAGCATCTTGGTTAATTGAGTTTGACTTTGATTTATTGTTGTCACGTGTACCATGATACAGTGGAAAGTGTTTTTTTGCATGCTATATAGACAGATCATACCATACAAAGTGTATCAAGGTAGCAGAAGAGAGTGCAGAATACAGTGTTACAGCCACAGAGAAGGTGCAGAGAGAGCGATCAGAATTAATATTTGAGAGGTCTGTTCAAAAGTCTGTTAACAGCAGGGAAGAAGCTGTTCTTAAATCTGTTTGTATGTGTATTCAAACTTTTATATCTTCAGCCCAACAGAAGAGGGTGGAAGAGAGTATAACGGGGGTGTGAGGGGTCTGTGATTATGTTGGTTGCTTTCCCAAGACAGTGGGAACTATAGATGGAGTCAATGGATGGAAGACTAGTTTGTGTGATGGACTGGGCTATGTTCATTACCCTCTGCAATTTCTTGCGGTATTGGGAAGAGCAGTTACCGCACCAAGCTGTGACGCATCCAGATGGGATGCTTTCTATAGTGCATCTAGAAAAAATTGGTAAGAGTTTTTTACAGACATGCAAAAATTCCTTAGCCACCTGAGGAATTAGAGATGTCGGTGTGTTTTCTTGACTGTTGTGTTGACATGGGTGGACCAGGACAGATTGTTTGTGATCATCACTCCCAGGACCTTGACTCTCTGGACAATCTCCAACTCAGCACCATTGAGGCAGAGAGGGGCGTGCCTTCCACTCTGCTTTCTGAAGAAGGATGTTGTGAAATTTGAAAGGGTTCAGAAAAGATTTACAAGGATACTTTCAGGTTTGAGCTATAGGGAGACCCTAAATGGGCTGGGGCTATTTTCCCTGGAGTGTTGGAGGCTGAGGGGTGACTTTATAAAAGTTTATAAAATCATGAGGGGCATGGAGAGGGCAAATAGGCAAGGCCTTTTCTCCGGGGTAGGGGAGTCCAAAACTAGAGGGCATAGGTTTAAGGCGAGAGGGGAAAGATTTAAAAGGGAATTAAGGGGCAACTTTTTCACGCAGAGGGTGGTGCTTGTATGGAATGAGCTGCCAGAGGAAGTGGTGGAAGCTGGTACAATTACAACATTGTATGGGTATATGAATAGAAAGGGGTTAGAGAGATATGGGCCAAATGCTGGAAAATAGGACTAGATTTATTTAGGATATTTGGTCGGCATGGACAAGTTGGACTGAAGAGTCTGTTTCTGTGCTGTACATCTCTATGACTCTATGTCAATGACCAGCTCCTTTCCTTTGCTGACGTTGGTAGAAAGATTGTTGATGGCACTAAGCACTCAATCTCTTTCCTGTATTCTGTCTTAACTACCTTCTTAAATAGCCTGGAAAACAACCCAGGTCAAGGGCAGATAGGGATGGGTAACAAATACCAGCCTCGTTAATGATGCCCACATCCCACAAATGAACAGAAAAACAGATTCAATGGGCAATTCAATTGAATCTACTGTTTGAACAAGTGATTTCCCTTATCCAAACACTTCAACATGACCAAGCTCTGATCTAATACCCGTTTTTTAAAAAAAATATTTACAGTGAGATGAATAACATCGGGGGAAGATCAAGGGAGCTCCGGAGTACAGAAAGATTTAAGAATAAGTAATGTTCAAATAAAACCGACTGCTGTCGTGATCCTGCAGTTTTGATGCAGTGCAAAACATCAAGTAAATACTACTGAGAACGTCATCAGTATAAGGAGCATG